GCAATTTATGTACATTGTGCATCGCATTCCCTAAATCTAGCCATTTCTGATTGTTGTTCAATTCCCGTTATTCGTAGTACCATGGGTTTATTAAACTTTTATTTTAATTATAACCATATATTTAAAAAGGCAGAATAGGCAAGGTATATGATATGTTCAAGTATCCAAAAAGATCTAATGTCCTCAAAAATATTCTGGCAAAGGAAGAATTTGGCAATAATCATCATAAACTTGTAAAAATGTGCCCTACAGATGGATCCTACGACATGAATCGGTTGCAGTTTTTTTTGAGATAGTTGACGCGATAATTGTTGCATTGGAGGAAATATGTGGATGGACAGATACATCAGTGGTGGCAGAAGCCAATGGAATCTTGAAAGCGATTCAAGATCCTGAGTTTTTATTGGCCATTAATTGCATTAACACTCTCTTCTGCCACACAATATTATTATGCAGAGCCTTGCAAAGAGTGAACCAAGATATGGTTCAGGCACTGATCTTAGCTGAAGATGCATATAATGCTATTTTACAGATAAGAAAAAATGCTGATTGTGAATTTAGAACGATTTTTAACAAAATTTAAAAAATAGTGCAATCTTATAATATAATAATAAGCATGCCAAGAATAGTATTAAGACAAGTACATAGGAATAATATTTCCTTACAGGAGTATTACAAAATTATTATTTTTATAATACTTATGGACACTTTTTTAACTCAGATTTAAGAACGTTTATTAAACCATAAACTTTTGCTAAGTAACTTTCAAATTTTGTTATCCTCTAATCCATCTGTGTACATTTCGGATGACCTTAGAAATAAAATTCAGTATTTATATAATTTTTATTTGCAAGATATGGTAGGGACCGAATTATAAGTAATAAGTGAATTTAAATATTGGTTTGCCAATTTAAAAAGAATGGATATAAAGCCTGATAATGCATTAAATGCACTGAATATTTGTAAACACACACTAATTAAATTTCCGAACATAACAAAATTATTTCAAATTTTAGCATGCCTCCCAATTACGACATGTACAAATGAAGGAACTTTCTCTAATTTAAGAAGACTAAAAACATACTTACGAAATACTACCTCGCAAAATAGATTAAATGGTTTAGCGCTATTATATATTCATCGGGAATTAACACCAGATAATACTGAAATAATTAATGAATTATCAAATTCTAAAAGAAAATTAGATATAACATTATAAATTATTACCACGTTTTTGTATGATCTATCTTATATTACACAAAACATAAATTATTACCACGTTTTTGTATGATCTATCTTATAACATAAATTAATACCACATTTTTGTGTGATCCATCTATATTAACAATAAACTAATAAAATTCATATTTCTTCCGGGCTTATTATTTGTTAAAAAAATTTTAAAATATATATAGGATTAATAACCCGGTCGAAGATCGGGTAAAACGGACCGAAGGCCCGCCAAAAAGGGGGTCTGGGGGCGAAGCCCCATAAATTTTGTAACCCCCCCCCCCCCTTCCCCCTAGGAAAATCCTGGCTACGCCTATGATCTTTCGTGTGCATATTTATAGTTAACCATGAAAGGGTGTACAAGAAAATTATTGACAATAACGACGTTTAAAAATTATTAACATTTTGTCGATTACCTGAGTTAGGTGTTTCAACCCCAATTTTTCAGCGTAGGGTTTGGAGGGAATTTTCACGGGGGTAACGATTGAATAACATAATCAAAGGTTAGAGGGATTTTTTATCGCGATAAAGTGTTATAAGTGACTCATAAAAAAGTGATGGGAGTTACTGAGATCACGCATTTGAGGTATAAAATAAATGGGAACGGAATAAGGCCGTTATATAAAAATTTAATGAATATTACTAATATGAATAGGCCGACGATTAAAAGGTAGATACAATCATTTTTTGCGAATCATTATTATCGTTCCATAGAGGATTTTGCTAAATTTATTACGCAAACTGTTCAAAAAAGGTATATTTTGAGTAGTAAAACAAACAAGAAGTGGCATTTGAAGCATCAAGATCGAAAGTGGGAAGGGAACCCTTTTTGGTATGTTTTAATAATGAAATAGATGTATATTGACAGTTGATGCGTACAACAGAGGTGTGAGTGGAGCATTGTTACATTTAATAAGAGGCGTCAAAAGGTTTATATTGTTATTGGTTGAACAAGAGGCATTAGCTGTCATTTTTGGTTTAACTAAATGTCAAGAATATTTAACTGGTAGGAAATTTGTGATATATACCAATAACAAACCTTATTGCTGTATGTGGATTAATTTGTTTTAACCTATTAAATTTTGGTATAACCGAGCTTGATCGAGGTATAATTTTAAATTTATCATATGATATTTCACAGATTAGATACAAATTGCAAATAAAAATATATTTAGTCATTTTAAAATATATCTTAATAATTATTGATTATTATCTTAATACAGGCGCGTACGCAGGAATTTGGTCTGGGGGGGATAATAAATTTTTTTAAGAAATAATATTTATAATTAAAAATACTAAGCATAAATTTATTAGGATTAATAACTTTAATACACAATTTTAAACTAATGTGAATTAAAAAAATTATATATATAAACCGGCATTTAAATGTGAATCATAAAATATAAAGTGAATATAACCCACGATATGAATCACTTAGATGACCCAAAATTGAAATTTGAATTTTTTGAGCTTTTAAAATATATAAAGTATAAAAAATTTAAATGTTTTAAATATAAATTAATGCACAAAAAGTTTCTTAGGAATAATTGTATTTTGTATGTTTTGAGCTAATTTTTCAATTATCAATCCTTGCTTGGCGTTAAATGTCTATGAATATTCAAAAGATCCAAATCATTCAATCTACTTTCAGATGTTGTATTTCATAGGTATGTTTTTCACAGACTTGTAGGCCCGGCCCCCGAGCCGGACTTTAATTTTTTTAAATATACCCGGGCCGGGCTCGTAATTTTTTTTTTAAAAACACCCGGGCTGGGCCTGAAAATTTTTTAAGAAAAAATATCCGAGCCGAGTTGTATATTTTAAAACCAAATATTTGAAATCGCCATTATTAGCTATAAATATCAAAAATAAATATAATTTATTTTAAAAAATTCGGGCTGGGCCAGCCGGGCCGGGCCTGAAAATTTTTTTAAAAAAAACCCGGGCCGGAAAAATTTTTAAAAAAAAATCTGGGCCTGGTCCTGCCAATGGTACCTCTGCAAGGCTCTGTTATTCTTCTTAAAAAAGTGAATGTTCTCTCATTAGTTTACTAAAGAACTGCTAATATATGTATAACCATTTTAATAATTGGGAGTATAATCTAAAATGTGTTTGAAATAAAAAGCATCCATAGCATTTTTTGGGACTGTATCAACCATAGTTAATCTTTTAATCATAGTTATTCAGCTAATAAAGCATCATAAGATATTTTAACATCTTCATGATAAAAATATAACAAATATTTATATTTTTTTTCTATCACCATATGAAAAAGGTTGGGAGAGGGGACATTTGTTATATAATACTCTTCTACTGATCCTATATTAATGTTTTGATGATGAGCTTGCTTGCTGCAAGTCGAGGGGGACAAATATTTAACACGTATAGCTCTGCTTTTGACTCAACAATAACATATAAAATATGAAATTCTTCAACAACACTAGCTCTATTTCCTTGAGTTCTAATAAAATGCTCTCCGCTATTCTCATCTTCTTAATCAAGTCAATGTTATGTTTTTGAAAAGTATTACATAAAATAGTTGTATAATTAAATAATACATTCTAATGAGAAAACAAATTTGGAATAAGTATTGAATCCAATAATTTTCTTGCTTCTGAGGAAATATTTCTTTCAAGCCATTGTGATATTTCAGTAATAGCATTAATAATCAGCTCTTCTAACTCCAAAATAGCTGTACTGTGGCGGAGACTCGATCTCGTTGGACAAGCTTGCAATTTTTTTCTCCCTGTTGGACAAGAAGTTTCAGAGATAATTATTATTTTATTAGAAATTTAGATAAATATTACGCCACTAAAATTTGAAAATAATAGGTAAATTACGCCAAGGAAAACTTGAAATCGAAATTGATTGATAAAATAACTTAGTAGATGAATGTGATAAATAAATGTAATTAAATATATATATATATATATGTATATGTATATATGAGATAAGAATAAATATTAACAAATATAAATTAATATTAACAATAATATTTTTGAAAAATATAATCCGGCATCTGCATTTTTTGGCTTGGGGGGGGGATTTGTCCCCCTGTCTTCCCCCCCCCCCCGCTGCGTACGCGCCTGTCTTAATAATAATAATAATCGCATAATTATATAACAAATTTATTATACTTAATATAATATATTACTATTAACAACACATAATCGGTTTATATACTAAATGATTAAAATTTAGTCTTTTAATTGCTAAAATTCGGATAAGTGCGAAAATATTAAATTTTTCAGTCCCAACGCCTTAGCGATTACCCGGGTTTTAATAATAATAATAAGCATTACAAATAATAAAAATAAAAATAATTTTTCTATACTATAATATAATATATCGTTATATGAAGTAGGCCTTGTTTTTCACAATTTGCATCTAAGCTAAATTACTTTATATAAAATATTTAGAAAAAATTTGTATGAAAGCAGTCTTAAATGCTAGAATGTAGACAAAGAAAATAACGGGGGGATTGATAAATGTCAAAAAAAATTTTGAAATCGATATCTATTCCTAAAATGATTAGTATCGTAGCGATTTTTTTTTGCTGTGAATGTGATAAATATAAGTTATGCGCTAAAAGGTATAAATTATTATTAATATTTATTATTCATAAAACATATTTTGAAAAAATAATTTAGCCAGGATCTAAATTTTATGGTTATGCCCCCCCCCCTCTGCCTACACGCCTAAATGTCCAACTAATTAAATTAAAAATAAATTTCTGACATCTATCACATTTCTATATCATGTCATTAATATTTTTTCGTATGATTCCATCATTTTTTAAAATATGATCAAGTTAAATTTTGATTCTCTTAGGGCCAGTTGTCATAATGGTGAGTCATGTGATCAATATTTACATTCAAACTCTAAATATTCTTAGAAATATATCATTCTCTTATACAAATAAATATTTAATCATTTATTTTTTGGTTTGAATTAAAACTTTAATAAATACATTTTTATTGGTTCTAATCAATTATTATTACTATATAACAAATATATAAATCTTCAAAAACTAGTTTACCATGCCCAGACTGGATTGAAAAAATTAAAAATAAATCTTCCCTAAGTCTTAATCCTATTAAAAGCACTATTTTCTAAACTTTACCCATTCTGGAACCCAAACGGATACCATTTAATTATCCTTATTCAATATACTAAAAATAAAAATCAAAGAATTTTGTCTAATATAGCTTATTAAAAATAAAAAAGAGACATATTGACTCTGGTAGTGTTGTTAAACGGCTCGATTTGAGCCGATTTTTAAAAACGGCTAACTCAACATTATATCCAGGAAAATATTGCCTATGCGTCGAGATTTCGCCAATAGATGGCAAAATATCTAGGCTTTCATAATATTTTTCTGGCTAAAATATTGAGTTAGCTGTTTTTAAAAATCGGCTCAAAACGAGCTGTTTAACAACACTAGACTCTGGTATCACTCTGAGCAACATGGGCCTGGATTTTATGATCAGAGCCAGCCTAGAACCAGAGTTAAAAAAAAACTATAAATTTGTTATATTTAATGAAAATAAATAATTTGGTGTATAGGCAATCATTTTTTTTGCAATATTGAATTTTATTAGAAGAAAAAATTGCAATATTTTTTTAATCATCAACTGTTTTAAAATAAGCTAAATTTAAATTAAATAGATCGAAGTCCATGAAATAAGATTTTTCAAAACTCAAGCTAGCTAGAAAATATATTATTAGGTTATGGGCTGACCTATGAAGGCGTCTGCTCTGGACCTTGATTTTTCTTTCAATCTATCTGGTTCCTTTAACCCTGTATCAATAACATAAAAAATATATTTATAAAACTTTACTTAATATAGTGATATATATTTGTGAAACATATCTTCATTAGTCTTCCTTATAGTTATAAAACTTTTGAAACAAGTTTTGAACACATCCAAAATACTTGACTTGTTCTATTTTTGAATATTGCATTTATTTAAAAAAATGGACTGTATATTTATTTGAATATTAAAAATATAATAATAAATTAATTTAACTTACATTCACATTCTACATATAAAAGATTTGGTAAATATTTTTTAAAATACATAGTACTGGAATTAACTAGGTAAATTTTTTTAGCATGATCTGAAACTGGCGTTGGTGAAAATATTGAATCAAGTGCATCTTTAGAATAAATGATATATTTTAGCTTAACTTTTATGATGATCAAATAATTATTTAAAAATTGCATAAATTTTGTAAGCAACAATTTCATATTTTATCTCTTAATATTATTTATTAAACAATCAAGTTATTCTATTTACAACTTATTAATTATAATTAAGCCTAGACATAAGCATTAGTGGGGGGGGGTGCAGGAAAATCCTTCTCCCAAACAAATTTGAAAATTTTTATAAATATTATTTTTAACTAATGAAAATTATCCCAATATTCCCTTCCCCTTCTTCAAAATAAATACCATTATACCATAAAGTCATAAATAAAATTTTTCATAAAAATGGCATTTAAAAAAACGGTTTGAAACCAAAATTATCTTTAAAAAAATAAGTGGGCCTAAAATCCTTGAATAAAATTGGCCAAGAAAAAGCCCCTATAAATATTTGCAAGCCTATGTAATTAAAAGAACTTAAATTAGAAAACAAAAATGAGAGGATTGCAGTTGAAACATTCCTTAAATTATTTCTAAAATAGAATTAATTTACCTTTAATTTTTGTACACAATTTATATTGTTTTTTTACATCTGGGTATCAGGAAAATATCATTATTTCCAATTTTAACTAGTTATGTAATTTTCATTAGTAGTTTAATATTTATATGACAGGTTTAGAGGATATAGTAGTAAAAATCCATCCAAATTTGAACTAAATATCATATTTGAATAATGGATTACAATATATGAGCAAGGTTGCCAGGTCAAAATTTTGAAATTGTGGGAGAAATTAGGTATTTTGTGGGAGAAATATATAAATTGTGGGAGAAATTGCTAAAAAAATTTTTTTGCGGGCCGAAGGCCCGCAAAGGTTTGGCCTGCGGCCGGGATTTAGAATTGACTTAGTTATCCGCTTATTATTTTTTATAAATATAAAATCTAATCTAAAATAAAATAGGTTATAGCCAACTATTTAAAATAAAATAGCTAAAATTTTTCAAAATAAAATAGCCAACTATTTTTCAAAATAAAATAGCCAACTATTTTTAAAAATAAAATAGCCAACTATTTTTCAAAATAAAATAGCCAACTATTTTTCAAAATAAAATTTCCAACTCTTTTTCAAAATAAAATAGGTAACTCTTTAGAATAAAATAGCCAACTATTTTTCAAAATAAAATAGCCAACTATTTTTCAAAATAAAATATCCAACTATTTTCCAAAATAAAATACGCAACTATTTTTCAAAATAGGTAATTACTGTACGACACAAAATTTCTTAGAGTACTATCTTTATTATTAAAATAACATATTTATTTATTAAAATATATTAATTTTGTTTAAAAATAATAACCAACGATCTTTTTTAATTACAAAAGAATGTAAACAAGATAAAATTTTATAAAAAAATTGTAATTTTATAATGTAAAAAAATAAATGTATAAATAAGATTTTATAAAGAAACAAACAATTTTAAATTTACAATGTAAAAAATATTTATAATCAGTGCGGGGAAGTTGTTCTACAGTATTTAGTTAATACAATGGGGGAAGGGAATGTGATATTTTGAGGCATCAAAAATCTTCAAAGCATAAATCAGTACAGGGCAGTCTATCAACATCTATTGCAAAATTAAAATATTCTTCAAAAATAAGAAATAATACAGATGCAACTACAGTTGCGGAAATGGTAAATACCTATCATGCAGTACAACATTCAGAGAGCAACATCACAATGTTGGTAGAATCTTTCCCCATAATATTTAACGACTAATATAAATGAAAAGTATTATTTGTAGAACACAAATGAGCAAGGCTATCATCAATGTTTTAGGATATAAATCCAGAAGGTTAATTCTTGACGATTTGAAAGATGTGCAAACATATGCAATTCAAACAGATGCATCTAATAAGGAGATATCAAAACATTTCCCTTGATCCTCCCCTATTTCAACAAAATTAATGTCATTTCAATAAAACTATTAAAAAAATTTTCTCCGGATATGAAATATCCAAAGACATAGCTAACCATATATAATGGTAAATATGGCAGATTTGGCATTACCAATGAATTGCATGGCAGCTTTCTGATCTGATAATTCCTCAGTGAATTTGGCAAAAACCATAGTGTATTTACAGAATTGAGTCAGCATAATGTTGGTTGACAGGTTCCTCCTAATACGCGCCATCGTAGAATTTTAAAATTTTACAAACCTTTAAAAAATAAATAGATTATAAAAGCTGTCCTATTTGAAAAAAAATTTCAAAAATAAATGGCAGAAGTATATTTAGGAATTTTACATATAGGAAATCTACTATATGCTGTTAATATGCATTTGCAATCAGAAGAATATAATTTAATAAAGGCTCACTAAATTATGCTGAGAAATACCAAAGTAATCCACTTCTAAAAGTTCTATTCTTCTATGAAAATGTTGAGTGGAGCACTGCAATTATAGAATCTAGAAATTTAAAATATATTTATAATAATTATACATACTATTCTAACTTCAAATTTTGAAAATGTCGAATGGATTGGATTGGATGGAGAATTTAAAATTAGCGGAAAAATAAAATAAAAGAACTAGACATATTTTTCGAATAAATATTTAAAATTTATTTTAAAAATATAAAAATAATCAAATACTGTTTCTCAAAATTATTATTTATATATTAAAAACATTAAAATGCTAAAAAAAAATTGTGGGAGAAATTAAAAAATTGTGGGAGATTTTTGTGGGAGATTTCGAATTGTGGGAGTTTTGTGGGAGTGAGATGTATGTGGGTAAACTAAAAAATTGTGGGAGACTCCCACTGATGGGGGGAGGCATGGCAACCCTGTATATGAGTCAGGTTGATTTAAAAAAAATTAAATCTTCTAAATCAATCAGACCATCTGGTTGAGCATTTTTAGTGTTGTTAAAAAGTCGAGTTCACCCAACTCTGACTCAGAGTCTGAGTCGTTAGTCGAATTAGTCGACTCACTGAAGTCGTGAAATCGAGTCGAGAACTCAAGTCGTGAACTCAAGCCTAGTGTTGTTAAATGGCTCGTTTTGAGCCGATTTTTAAAAACGGCTAACTCAGTATTGCATCCAGGATAGTATTACGCAAGCCTGAAGATTTTGTTTGTAAGGAACAAAGGTTTGGACATCTCTTAGCGAAATCTCGAGTCTTAAATAATTTTTTTCTGGCTAAAATATTGAGTTAGCCGTTTTTAAAAATCGGCTCAAAACGAGCCGTTTAACAACACTACTCAAGCCGATCCAAGTCGTGAACTCCAGTCAACTCGAGTCATGCACTAAGTCGAGAACATGAGTTTTCCATTTGAATCGTGAACTTAAGTCAACTAGAGGACGAATATTTCAAATAGGTATTGTATAATATTATTTTTGTTACAATTAATTTGTGGTTTTCATGCAAAAATTTTAAGCAAAATTTGAATTGATAAGAATTTAAAATCTTCTTTTTTAATTAATTTTTTTGTGAATTATTAATCTTTTAGTTGAAATTTTTTATAGGTTTATTTTTATCATTTTTGTAAAATTATCTATTTTTTTTAGTATATTAAAAGAACTAGTTTAAATAATTTATAAATATTTGTATTAAATTTTTATGTTATTTATAATATTTTAATGTGACAATTGTCATGTTATTTTTTAACATTTTTTAAATTTTTGGTACTAAGGGTAAAAATATAATTTA